CAAGTCGGAAAATCAATCGATATCGTTTATTTATTAATTTACATATTTCAGTCAATTATTAATAATTATTCGTTCAATTGTTCAACTTTGACAGCTTAAAACAGAAGAACGATGCACGTCACTAATTTGATAGTAGGCTTATTAGAAAGTTCATAGACGACTTCTTTTCCCGATTGTTTAATTTTGACAGCTCAAAACAAATGAACGAAGCTCACTTGATTTTGAAGGGAGGGAAAGTTTATGTAATTTTTTTTTTGGGGGGTGAAAATTGCGTAGGGAACAAATGTCGTGTCGCGAATTTGATGAAGTGTGTAGACTGAATCGAGTGTTGACAGATGTATTTGGTATTATTGAAAATGGTGCGGTGTAATAACGTGGTGAGCGCTGGACGGCCCGAGGAGGACAAGTTTCTTACAATAAAAGATAATACCCACAGCTGCCTGCGCACACTATATGTGTATACATGTATACAAGTAGAAAGAAGAGTGAGTATCAGCATCGATAATTTATCATTTCTCAGTAGATCTAAATTCATTTCGATTTTAATGAATAATTTATTATTATTATCGTGTACGTCTTGCGGAGTGAGCGAGCGAAGCGAAAGAAGAGATTACGATGATGATGATGATGAAGATGATGATGATGATGATGTGGCTGTCCGAGGCGAACGTTCCAAATCTAATTTGTTTCTGATTTCTCACGTCCATTCTATCCCTTTACAGAACATCTTCTTCAATTATTACAAACAATGAATTAATCTAAATCTCATCACTAATTGATGAGTGATAATGAAAAAAAAAACAGAGGTATAGTGTCTAAATTTTTAAATAATTGATTATTTATAATAATGAGAGATAATTGCAACATTAAATCAACAATTTGTAATGTTTGTGAGAAGATATGAAAGGTTGATGATGATGATGATTGCTGAAGGGCTTAAAAAACACACGCTGGACGAAGATACAAGTCTGTTTTTTTTATATATAAGAAAAAAGGGATTTTGCGGTGGTGGTTTTTCGTTGTAATATGCGACGAGGCAACAATTACAATGTGACGTCAGTCATTAATTATAACTTAACCTGTGGTTAGGACTTAACAAGCTGTCACTGGGAGATTGTTAGCGCGTTATTTATGAGAATTTAAACGCGCCCTCCTCTCTCGCTCTTTCTCTCCTCTCTCGCTCTCCTACTCGCTCACTTGCCCTATCTTCTCTTCGGCTATAGTCCAGGTACACAGAACCCGAGGAGCGGTACAGACAAGACGTTACGTTTCGTTTTGCTTTTAAAGTCAAGAAGGACAATAACAACTGCAAGAGGACATTGTTAATTTTATTTGTTAAATTGTTAACTGTTGTCATGGAGTTTATGTCAAAATTTGCAGATTGACAATGTCAAATATGTGAAGAGGTTATGGTAATAATAGTGCAAGATGGATGAAATTAACAAATCTGTTAAAAAAAATAATTATGTATTGTAATATTTGTACCTTTGTCAATTAAAAAAAAATTAATTGTTTTCACACTATGATATGTAAACTGTTTTTTTTTTAATAACTGTTGTCATGGAAAAGTAATCAAGTTGAAAGAATATGACAACTTAACATAACCTCCATAAGATTGACAATGTCAAATGTGTACAAAGGTTATTTGTTTTATAATCGTCAACAGTTAAAATGTTTAATTGTTTATTGTAATTAACTTATTTGTACATTTTGTTAATTATTAATAATTATTTATTGTTATGATCCGAATCTAAAAGAAATATGCTTATTGATAACTGTTGTCATGGAGATGCAAGGGGCATTGTATCAAGTTATCAAAATTTGACAACTCGATACAATAACCTCTACAAGAATGACAATGGCAAATGTGTGAAGGGGTTATGGTAATAATAGTGCAAGATATTGTAATATTTGTACCTTTGTCAGTTACAAAACTTAATTGTTTTCACACTATGATATGTAAACTGTAATAAAATTTATTGTTTTTTTTTTAATAACTGTTGTCATGGAAAAGTAATCAAGTTGTAAGAATTTGACAACTTAACATAACCATAACCATAAGATTGGCAATGTCAAATGAGTACTAAGGTTATTTGAAACAAAAGTGGAATTAATCTTTGTTTTATAATTGCCAACTGTTAAAATGTTTTGTACCTTTATTTATCATTTGTACCTTTTCTTAATTATTAATAATAATTTGTTACGATCCGAATCTAAAAGATATATGTTTATTGATAACTGTTGTCATGGAGATGCAACTGACATTGTATCATGTTGTCAAAATTTGACAACTCGATACAATAACCTCTACAAGAATGACAACGTCAAATGTGTACGAAGGTTATTTGAAACAAAAGTGGAATTAATCTTTAATCGTCATCTGTTAAAATGTTTAATTGTTTATTGTAATTAACTTATTTATAACCTTTTGTTAATTATTAATAATTATTTATTGTTACGATTCGAATCTAAAAGAAATATGCTTATTGATAACTGTTGTCATGGAGATGCAAGGGACATTGTATCATCTTGTCAAAATTTGACAACAAAATTCAATTGTTTTATAAATAACTTTTGTTTTTGTAATAATAATTAGGATAATTAATTATGATGTAAATGATAAAAATATTTAATGAACTGTTTTCTTGTAATAGTTGATTATTAACTAAAGCAAACTAAATATTGTCAGATGAATTGTGTAAATGTCAAGATAAACAACTTTTAACAAACCGAACAACGTTAATTGAATTACGTCAATTTGCTTCTTGCTTTGAAAAAAAAATAAAAAGAGCAATTAAACCGTAATTAATCAACGCCAAAAAGTATTCTCTTTAACGAAATTATACGTAACACAAAGACAAGAAAACGTACGCATCTTGAGTACGTTAAAGTTTAATTAATTTCGTTCTTTCTCTCGAAGCGCGCCGATTCGATCACGACCGTCGGCTCTCGCATTAACGAGCATTTAATTAGCTAATCGCCTCGCGTCCACGGACCATTACCATTTCTTACCATCAACAATGAGTCTTCTCTTCATCATCATCATCATCATGATGATGATGATCATCGTCGTCGTCATAATCCTCCTCCACGGTTCTCGGTGTTTGTCGATCTTGATACGGCGAGTTAGGAAGTAGTTTGTCGGTAGGACGAAGTGGTTGAGAAGAGATGGAGGAGGCGAACACAAGACACCATCGACACTCGCTCGCTTTCACAGCGAACCCAAGTGATGATGGCTTCTTGGTACGAGCTGTAATTAAGTCTGAACCCGGAGAGGAACCTCTCTTTTGTTCCGAGCCACACGATTTTTATCTGTTAATTGACTACATACAAGGTGTTGACTGTTTCTGCGTGTCTCACTTCCACCTCCATCTTCCACTTACACACACACTCGCGACATTTTCAATTTCACATTTCCATGACGACGGATATCAATAATTAAATCATCCATCTTGCATTTCGTAACCTCCAAAATTTGATGATATCTCCATGACAGCAGTTATCATGTCAACTATAATATTGCAATGAAAGTGTATTGATTCGAGCGAAAAGTAAAGGTCAGAAGTGAGTAATCAATGGGATGCAAATGTTTTTTTTGCGATTGATTAAATTGATGGATGTTCGGACTATCATAAATATGTATGCCCGTGCGTCCTATACACGTATAAGTAAGTATATAGTGTGCGTGGATATTGTGCAGACTTACGTAATAATTTATCCGTGCGGTCACATTCGATTCGAGCGTGTACACGACGTCGGTAACCCGATACACCTTATAAAATACTTAACGTACAGAATCTTTAGTCCCAGTTTTACATGAAGATCGAGGGGAAATACGAATAAAGATGCAGAAAGGACGAGACGTCTCCTCTTCATGTTCTTCATCGAATAACAAACAAACGAAACCAAAAACAAAAAAAAAACAAAAACATTGATCGTTCGGGCTTTATTTCACGAGATGCGGGCGCTTGACTTAATTGACTTCTTCTCCTTTTGTGGGAAAGGGGAATAAAGGAAGGAGTGCACACACTCAAACTCTTCTGATCTATGTAAATTCGAACGATCGTGTAATGTACGTGCTGCACCTAATTTTACCTGCACAACAAAAACAAGACACGCTGAAATAGCCGTTAACTTAACAAACTGTTAGACTTGTTACCATGGAAACATGTCATTAAATTAGGTTATTGTTCTTAACGTCAATCGTGTGCGTCATTTGACAGAATTGATGGTTATCAATAAACATAACCTAAAATCAATTATAACAAAAAAAAAAAAGTTTCTATAGTTTTCAAATTATAATTGAGGTTAATAAAAAAGAAAAAAATAAAAATACTTACGTGAATCTAATTTTTTTGATATAAGAAAATTATCAAAGTTTAATAATTTTATTAGGGGTTTTGGTGGGGGTTGGTCAATTAAAAGACGTTTTTTTTTTTTGATAAAATTTTCTCTTTTCATTATTTCTCATTTTTCATAATAATAATTTTTTGTTTTTTTTTTTGTTTTTTTTTTAAAGTTAAAATTTACAATTTGTTTTAAGTACATCTTTCCGTTTTCCATCACACTCGCATCCAACTTGTTAGGAAACCAATAGCAACGAAACAATTCGTTGTTTCTTTGTTTTGTTTTTCATCGGTAGTTTGATTAAAACTAAGAAACTTTTGGTTTCCTTTCTTATTATTTGTGACACTTTAATACTCGCTTCAATTCTCTTTTTAATGCCTATTTACAAGGAACAAATAAATTATAGATTTCTTTTTTTGTTTAAAACACAAAAAAAAAAATGAAACAATGAAACAAACGTTGCTTGATTAATCGATCAATCTTCGTATTTAATTCCGGAAGGTCTAGGAGGATAATATAATATAATATATATATATAATAAATAATTTAGTATGTACAGATTTTGTTGTTGTTGTTGTTTTGTTTTTTTTTGTTGTTGTTGTTGCTGGGATAATAATAATAATAATAGAATTTTTTTCTTCGGTTTTTAAACTAATATTATATTATACACGGCTTCAATTTGTTTTTTTTAATTTTTTCATCCTTCTTCCTTCCGCGACGATTTGGCACGTACGTCAATTTGGCACCGAAAAACGCCTACTTTATATATATATAATTTGTTTATACATACATATATTTACAAAACAAACAAATGATTTTCTTTATATAGTAGAGAGAGAGGGGGGCGGGGTAAGAGGACATTTCTAAAGTCGCGAAAACTATTATAATAATATGTACACGCACACTTCGTTTTTTTTTTAAACTTTTGTTTTATAAGGTGGTTTTCGAAGTGTGTAGGGGGCGTTGGTGATTTTTTCTTCTTTTGTTATCTAATATATATATATATTGCAACTACACCAGGATTTTTCAGCGCTCTTTCTTTCTTTCTTTGTTCATCATCTTCGAGGCGAGAAGTTTCGTGAATTTGTCCATGATTTCACTCGTTTTTTTGGTTTATTTTTTACGTTTCACTCTCCACATCACTGACACACTCATCGTCCATGTCCATGTCGATGTACTCGCCGTACTGGCTGTCATCTCCGGTCTCCTCCTTCCACTTATCGACGTGATGAGAGTTGTTCGAACCCTGCGACGATTTTCCCCCAGAACTGGTCTTCGCCTCCTCCTCCTGCTGCATCCTTTTGTGCTTCGTCCTTCGATTTTGGAACCAAACTTTTACCTGCAAAACAACAAAAAACAAAAAATTAGTAATTATTAACAATCATCATACAATTACAACAACAAAAAAAAGCGATTAATCAAAAGCGCTTTGAACCGTACATTTTTGTTTCGCACACCCCTCAACCGGAAAACGCGACAATGGCGCGCGCGCGCTCGCTTATTCATCTACATGTCGTTCCATTTTTTTTTTTTTTGTCATTTTTCACTTCCGTTTCCTGTTTGTCCGCCATTTATTCGGGATTTGAGCTCCATTCGTCGCGTCGCTATTTCTTTATTTATTCATTTCGCGACCCTTCCGAGGCTTCGATAAAAAAAAGGGAGAGAGAGCACCATAAACTATCAATTTCACACCTAGGGGTTGTTGGTTGCGCGTCCCCTCCCCCCTCTTTGATCAGAAACAAAAATTATGTTAAAAAAATCGAGCCATCGTTGGATCCGCCATTTTAGCAGATGCGCGTCCATTCTTCTCGTTGCTATGATACTAACAAATAAAAAATGAAAAGAATGAAATAAAAGAAGACCGCATGGGGCGCGCAAGGTGTGAATACGTAATTAATTGAATTTATGGGGTTGCTTTGGAATAAAAAAAAAAGAACGAACAAGAAGGGGGAATCTCTCTCTCTTTCCCTACAACAATGCTCTATATGTATTGTTCTCTTTCTATCTATCCGTCTGTGCGTTCGTTTTAGCCGGTTTTAATTGATTGGGGAGGGATTAAAAACGTTCGCGCCCTCCAATCGTAATCCGCCGTCGCTACGTGCATGAGCGAGTGAACGAGAAGTGTTTGCGTTTCATTTAAATAAGCATCGAAAACTCTGTACTACACGATTCCAATTACCAATACAAACAGACCGAACTCCGATCATCGTTTCTATCTCCAATTTTCGCAC